CACGTCGATGTCACAGGTCGGCCTCGGAAACATGTCACCATGATGCAAATTCAGCTCACGGGTGAACAGGAGGCAATCCGCAAGGTCAGGTCACTTTCCCCTGCGAGGTCCTGGCGGGGAATGGACAGAACGATGGCACGGCCAAAGGCCTCGCGTCGCTCAGACTCGACAGATATGAAAACATCGTCCCCAGACTATTTTGGACTATTTTTGAATTTTCGTTCTGTAGAGGGACACGACCGCCTTAAGCCTACACCCGCTGCGGCTGGCCTTCACAGGGGCAGGCGCATCCTGACTGAGGCCACACCTTCTCTCCATTCTCCTCTTCCTTCTCCTCCTGCTCACGCACGCGGGGAGGTTGCAAGTGCCCCCCCCCTCGTTGCTTGGACAGGCATGCGCCTGACATTTCGATCAAGAGACGCTCGGGAAAATATGATAATGTGCCGGTCGAAGGTGGAGTGGTAGAGGAGGCAGTGGTATCACAAGTGCCCTGCGCAAGGCGTATGCATTATACGTTCTTTCTTGTTCTTGATGGGAGCGCGCATTGTTATGTCTTCGCTGCGGTGGGGGGGTACCTGCGCAAGATACGCAAGGCGTAGCAAGCGAAGCTGCGCATCAGGGCAGGCCCAAGTGCAGCAGTCCACGGCTCAAAAGCCACATGTGCGCAGTGTGGGTGAACAGAAGAGGGAGGGCAACAAGCATAGACGGTCTTACCTTGTTGCGCCTGTGGCGCCGGCCCTCGTCAGGCCGACTTGCCCCTCGAGCTTCTCGGCAGGCCAGTGCCCCGCCCCAAACCTGAGAGTGGGGGACCAGCTCGGGGGGGGCGGGAAGAGCATCGAGGATGAATCGGCGATACGTGGCCGATAGATCGGCGACAGGCCCCCGATAGCGACGCCGCATGTTCCTGGGCGGGGTGGGCACATCAGGCCCCTAGCGGCGATGAGTGGGAGATCGGGGGTCGATGCATCCCCCCCGAGCCCGTCCCACCCCCCCCCGGCGTTGCCCCTGGCTTTCGGGTCATCGCTACGGTCAACCCGCACAGTGGGGATGGGCAACCTTCCCAAGGGTGCCCTTGCATCCTTGCCTCCTCGGTCCATCCTTGGCCTCTTTCGTTGGCCGCGTCCCGCTCGAGAAGCTCCGAAATGGGCGTCCAAGGCCCTTGCATCCTTATGATACGGGCCGAATGCAGGCTCCCTGGCGGCCGTTCGGGACGATCGGGGCACCCCCAGAACGCTCTCGGCGAGGCGCAGCCGCCGGAAGACGCCCCGAGGCCGGAACACTGGCGAGAATCGACGAAAACACCCGAGAACCTTTCGAACCTCGAGCCCACCCCCCCTCTACTCAACGTCGGGTGGGACATGCCCTCCTACAGGCGGATTCCGGAACAACATACCAGATTGTCAAAAAACAAAAAGAATCCAAACTAGTCAGAAGAGCACGACAAATCGTCACCTGATCATTTTGCGACTATCTTTGAATATTCCTTATGTAGAAGGACGTGCCCGACTTAAACTTGACGCTGCCCAGCACCACCCCCCAGCCTCTCCCTTCGGGCATCTGCTGACCTGGGTCAATCCAGACCCGGGTCTGTCAGGCTTTGCAGGATCCTGCGCCCAAGCCCTGGTCAATGCCCCCCCTGGCCCTGCAGGATCCTACAAGAGCTGGCGCTCTGAGGAGGAGGAGGAGGAGGAGGAGGAGGAGGACGACGACGACGAGGAGGTGGAGAAGGAGGAGGAGGAGGAGGAGGAGGAGGAGGTGGAGGAGGAGGAGGAGGAGGAGTGCATGGACCCCCGCCTCTTGAGCCCCGACCCCTCCTGCAGTGCCCTCCGCCGGTTCAGGGCCGCGCGCGCCGGGCGCTGCGCAGCCAGCGCCGCGCGGCGGCGGGGCCCCCCGCGCGGCGGCGGCGCCCGCCGGCGCGCCGGCCGTGGCGAAGCCCCTGCCCTCCCCTCTGCAGCTGGGATGCTTAGGGACGCGGCAGGTGCGGCACGGCTTCGGGCTGCGCACGTAGGAGGCCTCCTAGAACCCTCGTCAAAACATGTCCAGGAATGCAAGTCGAAATCCTGTGGCACGATGCTTTCGGGCACCTGTCAGAAAGCGCGTGCTTCAATGCTGAGAGGGTGGGGTCGGTTCTTGGACAACACCGCGTCCGAGTCAACAGGCATCCGTCAGCATTGGAGTAGCGCTGACCCCACAATCATCGAATTCAGAAGTCTTCTGTTTCTTTTTGACGAGGCTTGTAGGTGGGGTCGGAGTAGACGGGGTCGGAGGATCGCGCCACATCGCCAATCCATCGGCGATGCGCTGGCGACGTCGGCGATGCATCGGCGACGTCGGCGTGGAGAAAGTCGAGCTCCACATCGAGCCGCATCGCCGATGCATCGGCGATGCGGCACGATCCTTCGACCCCATCTACTCGGACCAAATTTGGGAGGCCTAGAGACGCGGCAGGTGCGGTAAGGCTTCGGGCTGCGCGCAGACCCTGAGATCCTGGCTTTGCAGTTTTTTCACCACGGGCGTGTTCGCTCGGTTGCGGGACCCAAGACCCTCACAGATCGTTCGGGCTCGAGAGATGACGCAGAAAGATGGGGCCTGGAGGTCTGAGCGTCACGTTTTGTGCTGCTGCATTTTTTTCGCTGCGTCGGATCTCAGGGGACAGCGCCAACAAACAAGCCCCGCGAGCAATCCTGGCTGGCTTCAGCACCCCGGCGCCGCCGCCGGCTGCGCCGTTGAGAGACCGCCCTGGGCTACTCGAGGGGCCTGCTGAGGCCAGCCGGAACTACCTGGGGGGGCTGTCTGCGCGCAGCCCGAAGCCTGACCAGTTCGTGTCGTGACGACTTCGGCGTTGGCTTCCGACACCGCGTGGATCTTTCAGCCTGGAAAGATCGCGGCTTTCGGACAGCGCAGGTCGTTCGATGCCTGCCGATTCCGGACCATTGCCAGAGTTCAACCTTGAACGCCAGCGCAGGCGTCACCGCTGGGTCAACACGGCACGGACCTGCCGTAGCAGGAGTGGGCGAAGGAGGGCGGCTTGGGGCAACAGGGTTCCGACTGGACCAGCGTGTTAGGTCGCAGATGAACAAGAGGGGGGCTGCGCGCAAGGGGGTGGAACACCTTACCCAACTGCGCGAGAGTGGATATGATAATACTAATTCCATGACCACCAGTCGTGGTAGTCACCATGGCTTCCGACGTGTGACTTAAAGCCGCCAGCCCTCTGGGCGTAGGTGGTTCAAGGGGTCAACTCTTCCACCATCTAGTCTCCTCCTTCGGGGAAGGGGCTCAGCAATGGTCCTGAAGGATAAGCGCCTCACAACCCACACGATCGGCTGTCGACAGGGGACCATGATAAACCATGTTCACACACAGTGCGGACGCGTGCGCACGAAACTCATGCAAAACACCCAACCACAAAAGTGCGCGCAATGTGCAATCTGGGAGGAGACTCAAGGCACCCGCCTAGCGCGCTGCACCGCCGCCTTCGTTTGTCAACGCGCTGCCTCCCCAGCTCCTCCTCCTCCGCCTCCTCCTCCTCCTCTTCCTCCTCCTCCTCGTCGTCGTCCTCCTCCTCCTCCTCCAACTCCCCCTTCCTCCTCCTCCTCCTCCTCCTCCTCCTCCTCCTCCTTCCTCCTCCTCCGGCCTCCTCCTCCTCCTCCTCTGGTCCTCCTGTCTCTCCTCCTCCTCTCTCCTCCTCCTCTTCGTCCTCCTCCTCCTCCTTCTCCTCTAACGCCTACTGCCTCTTCCTCTCTTCTCTTCCTCCTCCACCTCCTCCTCCTTCCTCCTGCTCCTCCTCCTCCTCCTCCTCCTTCCTCCTGCTTCCTCCTCCTCCTCTCTCCTCTTCCTCCTCCCTACTCCTCCTCACCTCCTCGTCCCTCCTCCTCCTCGCCTCCTCCTCCTCCTCCTCCTCTTCTCTCTCCTCCTCCTCTTCCTCCTCCGCCTCCTCCTTTTCCCCTCCTCCTCCTCCTCCCCTCCTCCTCCTCCTCCTCCCCTCCTCCTCCTCCTCCTCCTCCTCCTCCTCCTCCTCCCCCTCTTCCTTATCAATAATTCCTCCCTGCCGCACCCCCATTCGTGTCGGTAGGGCGGGCCAGGCGTTTCGCCTGAGACGCCTTCACCTGATCCTGAAGCTTGAACTTTGAAACGGCTTCGCGGGTGGAGGGCGGGCCGTTTGCAAAATGTGGCTCTCGCCTTAGCGCCCGGCGCGCTCATTGTGAAGATGTGGGACAAATTTGCGGAAGTGGGGTAGGCCGTTTGCAAAATGTGGTTCCCGCTTTTGCGCCGCGCACATTCGTCTGAACACTTGCAAGAGCTTCACGGATGGAGGGCGGGCTGATTTCAAAATGTGGTTCTCGACTGAGTGCCGCACACTTTCGTATTAAAAGTTTGCAGCAGCTTCACGGATGAAGGGCGATTCTTTTGCAACATGTGGCTCTCACCTTCGCGCTTTGCCCATTCGTCTTGAAAATTTGCAACAGTTTCGGTACAGATACCGTGTTTGGGCGCAATGTCGGACGGTCATGGCGCAACAAGTTGTTTTGATTCGCAGCGTTGGCCTCCAAGGAATGGTGTTCTGGCACGAGTCAGGATCGTCAAGACGCAACACTAGGGGTGATTCGCAGAAATGATGTTCTGGCGCAGTTCAGGATTTTCAAACGGTTGCCTTTCAACGTGGCACTTCCCCCAGTGATAATTAAGTCTCGTAGGGGCACATGAAGAGTGAGCTTCGAGGGAGGATATATTACACATCGTTAATGAGTCTTGGGTTTGCACTAGTCCTCCTCCTCCTCCTCATCCCTTTTCCTCCGCCTCCCCCTGCATCGTCCTTATGAACATCTCCTTCTTGTCGCGCCCCCAATGGCAAGGGCGGGCCTGCCGTTCAGCCCGCAACTTTCTCACTGTTTATGATCCTGAAGCTTGACATCTGCAACAGCTTCACGGATGGAGGGCGGGTTGTTTGCAAAATAAGGCTCTTGCTTTAGCGCCGTGCGAACTCATGTGGAAGATTTGCAACGTATTCACGGATCGAGGACGGGCCGTTTTCAAAATGTAGCTCTCGCTTGCGCGTCGTGCACATTCGTCTCGAACATTTGCAAGAGATTTACGGCTAGAGGGCGGGCCGTTTTCAAAATGTGGCTCTCACATTATTGCCGCGCGCAGTCGTCTTAAAAGTTTGCGCGGGTGTCACCGCTGAACGGCGCTTTTTCTCAAAATTATGTTATCGCCCTAGCGCCGCGCCGATTCGTCTCGGAAGGAAAAGCTGCAAGAATTCCAAGGACTCACAGTGTCGGAGTCCCAGGAATGATGTTCTGGCAAGATCTGGGACTGTCAAAGCGCGACAACCATGTTGATCGCGGTGTTGACATCCCATGAATGGTGTTCTGGCACGGTGTAGGATTACCAAGAAACAACATTCGCGGTGACTCGCGACGCTGAGGTCCCAGGACTGGTGTTATGAACGTTTGAGGATTATCAAAAGTTTGTTTTCCAATGGGGCACTTCCCGCTATGGAGCTAAACTCTTGTGGGGCCCTGTGACAGCGAACTTGGAGGCAGGGCCTGTTGCAACATCGCTGATGCGTCTTGGGTTTACACTGGTCCTCCTCCTACTCCTCCCTCTCCTCTTCCTCGTCCTCTTCCTCCTCCTCCTCCTCCTCGTCCTCTTCCTCTCCTCCTCCTCCTCCTCCTCCTCCTCCTCCTCCTCCTCCTCCTCCAACTCCTGCTCCTCCTCTCTCTCTCTCTCTCTATGTCTCTCTCTCTCTCTCTCTCTCTCCTCCTCCTCCTCCTCCGCCGCCTCCTCATCCGCCTCCTGCCTCCCTCCTACTCTTCTCCACCTCCTCCTCCTCCTCCTCTTCCTCCTCCTTCCTCCCGTTTCTAATGTTTCTTCTTCCTCTCCTCCTCCCCTCCTCCTCCTCCTCTCCTCCTCACTCTTCTCTCCCATTTCCTCTCCTCCTCCTCCTCCTCCTCCTCGCCCCTCCTCTTCTCCTCCTCCGCCTCCTCCTCCTCCTCACGCCATCCCCTCCTCCTCCGCCTCCCCGACCCTCCTCCTCCGCCTCTCCTCCCCCTCCCCCCTCCTCCTCCTCCTCCTACCTCCTCCTCCTCCCCCCTCCTCCTCCTCCTCCTCCTCCTCCTCCTCCTCCCTCCTCCTTCTCCTCCTCCTCCTCCTCCTCCTTCTCCTCCGCCTCGTTCTCCTCATCCTAGCCGTCCTCCTCCTCCCTCCTCTCCTTGTTTCTTCTCCTCCTCCTCCTCTTCTGCTTTTCTTTTTGTTATGTTCATGCTTCTTATTATGTTTAGTTTATTTCTTATTATACGGCTGCTGTTCCTTTTTCTTCTTCTTATTATTATTATTCTTCTTCTTCTTCTCATTATCATTACGATTCGTATTAGTCCTCATCTTCTTCTTCTTACCACCATCATCATTATCAGTATCATTATTAGCTCTATTAGCATTCGTATTAGTAGTAGTAGTATCAGTAGTAGTATCAGTATTAGTGTTAGTATTAGTATTAGTATTAATATTAGTATTAACATTATCATTCCCAGTATCGTCATGATTTTGATTATTCGTGATATTAATCATATGGCTATTATTATTATGTGTATTATTATTCGTCTTCTTCTTCTTCTTCCAACTCCTCCTCCTCCTCCTCCTCCTCCTCCTCCTCCGCCTCCTCCCCCTCTCCCTCCCCCTTTTTCCTCCTGCAGCCCCTTTTTCCTCCGAGTCCGCGGGGACCCTTTGGGAGAGCGGACGGCGCGCCGCGCGCGCAGGCATGCCGCCGGCGCGCCGCGGCCGCCCGCGGCCGCTGCTCCCGGCGGCGCCCCGGAGCAGGCTGCCGCGCCCAGCCGCCGCGGCTGTCCGCCCGGCCCCCGCCCACGCCGCCGCGCGGCGCCGCCGCAGCTACCGCCAGCGCGCGGCGCCCTCCCGCCGCCCCGGCTGCACCAGCGTCCGCGGCCGCCCAGCCGCTCTCCCCCCCGTCGTCCTCAACAACAACGACGCCACAGCGAACCCGAAAATCCGAACAGGCAGACCTCAAAGCGCCTGTAAGGAACTCAAAAGCTGCACGCGCTCGAGGACCACGGGGAGGAGAAGGGAAAGGGGACGCGTGGGACGGGAGAGGGACGGAAATGCCCAACCCCAGCCCCTGTGTTCCTGCTCGTCGCGGGCGCGGCACGGAGGTGAAGGGAGGGGAAGTCCACTCCTGCTGCCACCAAACACCCACGATCTTCAATCATGAATCTCCTCTGGGCACCCCCTTAAGAATAGAAGGGGCACTGGGGGAGGAGACTAAGATGAGAAGGATGACTAGGACAGGCCACCACGCCATGGGCCCATGCATGTGCATGGACAACGAGTTGCTTCCTCTGCCCGCTCAACTTGGAACGCTATGGGAGGCATTGAGACTGCCAGGCAACTCGGAAAGGCAAAAGAACAAAGGCACATCCACACCCTTCCCATATCCCCCCTTGAGAACTCTCCCCTCTCACTCCCTTCTGGTCCAAACTGCTGGGTGGCACACCAGCGTTCAAGCTTCGAGAAGGGAGGAACAATGGGGAAAGGGAAGGGATATAAAGACAAGGGGGAGTAGAGCGAGTGCAGCAATGTACGGGGATCGAGCCCAGCGTCTTTATGGTGGGAAACAGGCTATAGGACGCACTTGTCGGTCCTAGCTGTTGCTGTCCACATGCTGCTGCTCTCTGTCACTACCTGAAACCTGTGGCAGCGCTCATGCTCATGGAAATATGGATGGGCGCGGGGAGCTGCTTACACAACTTGGACGCCCTGTAAGCGCACCAAGCTCTCCCTGTCCACTCCTTCAAACAATCCCCAACCCTCCAACTCCCAACCTCCTCATGCCCCCATCCTCGTACGCGATTCTACAACAGGCAACAAGACCTCTGCAGCGATCGTGTCTGGCGGAAGGGGCAGGGAGAGAGGGCGAGGGGAGGGAAAATGGGCAACAGAGGATCAAAGAGAGGAGTTACTGCACTGCTCTGACGCTTGGCAATCAGCTCCTGAACCTACGTGCCCTGTCCGCGTTCTCAAGTATCACTCCTAACCTCTGCTGCATGTGTGGATCCCCTTTCAGAACCTGTGGAGCCTTTGCTGGTTTGGGGGTGCCTTCCAAGGCGCTCTCTGAACAGTTCGTGACGCTGTACTCCGAACCCTCGCTGAGCTGCGAGCTTATGACGACGCCCATCGAGCCCAACTGGCTCTCGATGTTGGCAACACTCCCCTGCAACGGCACGGGGCCTGTGAGCGAGGCCTTCATGTTCGCAATGCCGCCTGCAAGCACGTTGTAGGACTTCTGGAGCACCTCCTTCATGTCTGAATGGCCAGCCTACTGCTGCCGCTTCAGCTCCTGCAGCTTGGTTTACCCGCTGAGGATATCTGCGCGGAAATCGAAGACCAGAGCTTTGAGGTCGCGAATCTGCTCGTCCAGCTGCGGGGTCTCCTGCAGCCCAAGCTCGATGTCTGACGTCTGCGTGTCGTGGTCCTGCACCGCGTTGGTGTCCGGCGCCGCCTGATGGGCTGCTGCCCTCCATCTCGGTGCCCTCGGAGTTGGGCGTGCTGGCTCCGCTGAAGGCGGCACGGACGTCTCTCTCTCTCTCTCTCTCTCGAGGGACACGTCAGGGCGGCCCACGCCGTTGCGGACCTGGGCGATTTTGCCCAGCCTCGCGGCTGGTCCACTGTCGCCGCGGTTCCGCAACATCTTCCTGGCCGCCTGCACGGAGATCTTCTCCTCGTCAATCTCGTCCCTGCACGCCGCGAGGGCCCTCTCCAGCTGGACCGTGCGGTCGCCCATGCCAGGAGCCAGGATGACCAGCACGGCACCCTCCAGCCGCAACGGCTCCGGAAGTCGCGCCTCGGGCCGCCCCCGCCGCCAGGGGCCGTGGCCTGGCGGGCCGCGGGCCGCGCTGCCAAAGCCGCCGCCTCAGCGCCGAGAGCAGCCTGGGCCGCTGGGCCCCAGAGCTGCGGGGCGCCGCCATCGCTGCGTGCTATCTCGGGGGCACGCGAGGCATGGCGCCCGACCCGCGGGCGCTCGTCGTAGCCGCTCAGCGCTGGATGGCTTGAGCCGGAATGGCTACGGATCCTCCTCCTCCTCCTCCTCCTCCTCCTCCTCCCTCCTCCTCCTCCTCCTCCTCCTCCTCCTCCCCTCCTCCTCCTCCTCCTCCTCCTCCTCCCTCCCTCCCCTCCCTCCCTCCCTCCCTCCCCCCGCCTCCCTCCCCCCTCCCTCCCTCCTACCTCCTTCCTCCTCCCTCCTCCGTGCTCCCTGCTCCCCGTTCCCTGTGCCCTGCGCCCTGCGCCCTCCTCCCTGTGCTCTGCGCCTCCTCCCTGCTCCCCCTGGCCGGCCACGGGTCCACGGCGAGGAGGGCGGCCGCGGCGAGGAGCCCCTCGCGAGCCACCGCGGGAGTGGGGGGCTGGCTGCCGCGGCGCGCGCAGCAGCAGCAGCGAGGAGAGGGGCAGGGTATAAACCTCCTCTTGCCCTCTCCCCGGGCGGCGGAGGAGGAGGAGGAGGAGGAGGAGGAGGAGGAGGAGGAGGAGGAGGAGGAGGAGGAGGAGGAGAGGAGGAGGCGGATGAGGAGGAGGAGGAGGAGGAGGAGGAGGAGGAGGAGGAGGAGGAGGAGGGGGGGACGACATCTGTACACATCCACTGCTCCCTGGCCAGGCCCACCCTGAACCCAGCAGCGGTGTGTACGCCACGCCCTCCTGCCTTCGCCAGGAGGGCGTGTACACGGCTCCTGGGTCCAGGATGGGCCTGGACCGGGAGCAGTGGATATATGTATAGATTTCGTCGCCCGACAGATAAGGAGTCGCCTCCTTATTACTGAGGCACCTCCTCGGAGGTCTTCGTCAGAACGATGAAGGAATATTCAGTCCGATGATAAATCGCCGCTGAGCCAGGCCAGGATGGATTAGGCCCCAGATCAAGCGGGATTGCCTTGAATTGAGCGGGACTGCGACGGATTAGGAGGCAACTCTGGCTAGACCTTCGCCAGAACGATGATCGGGTGTTGCTAGAAGCTCCCCTGACCCAAGGTGTCCCCAAAATTTCCAAGGAGGCCCTTGCGGCCTCCAGGGCACCCCTCGCGAGGCCCAGAGGGCCCCATGTGCTCCAAAATCGAGCGAAAAGCTTGAGGCACCTTGGGCAAGGGACAAGTTTAGCAACCTCCGGAATTAAAGGTTAATCAAGCCAGATCAAGGGACCACTGAGCCGCATCAGAACAGATTAGGCCCCAGATCAAGCGGGATCACGACGGATTGAGCGAGATCGAGCCAAACTGGGCCAGTTTGCGACCAGGGGTATGCCAGCGCCGATTCTGAATGCACCCTCCCAGGAGGTGCATCTAGAGTCGGGGGACGCCAGGACGAGGACCAATCCTGATGAGGAGACGTCGTGCATCTCCGAGGGCCACTGGGGCGGGCGGATGAATCGGGCGCCGCGGCCGCTCCGGAGAGCTCTGGAGCGCCCTGAGAGCTGCCAAGACCGCTCTGGAGCGACCCACCGTCCTCTCAAGCCTGCTTGGGACGGGGAAGGAGTCGCGCAGGAGCTCGCCTACAGAGTTGACCTGCCCCAAACTTGATGTTCTCGTCGAACCTGCACAAAAATACGCAGGATGCTCCGTGGATCGACGGGGCATTCTACGCATCTGAGGGGAAACCCAGCCAGGTACCGACGCCGCTACTCCCTGGGACCTCTCCCGGGGTGCGTCCTGACCAAGATTCCGAGGCGAATCCAGCGGTGGCGACGAGGGCCTCCCAGGAGGCCCCAGCAAGGGAAAACGGGCGAAGGGTAGCGGTATGGGTAGCTTTTCCTCCTCTGAACTTGTCCCGTATACTCGGCGACCTGTATATATATAGAGAGAGAAAGAGAGAGAGAGAGAGAGAGAGAGAGAGAGAGAGAGAGAGAAAGAGAGAGGTTACATTCTGCAGTCGACCTCTTACTCGAAGCAGGAGGGGGAGGGGGTACAGGTCGGGGGCGCGGAGGGCGAGGAGCCTCGAGGCGGCCGGACGGGAAGGGAACCGGCTGGAGCGGAGGAGGCGCGGTTGTGCAGCTGTGGCCCCGTGCCCAGGGGCGCGAGGTCGCGCGACCAGAGCGCTGCACGCAGCCTGGTCTCTATCGTCGACGGCGAGCGAGGGGGGGAAACGAGACGAGAAGGAGAAGGCCTTCTCAGAAGGCGGCGGGACTTCTCGGAAGCCCTCGTGCCTTCTGAGAATTGTTTCCTGTCTTCGGGGAAGGCTTAGGAAACTTCTCAGAAGGCCGGGGGGCTTCCGAACCTTCTGAGAAGGCATTGTCCTTCTCACTTCCCCCCTCGCTCGCCGCCGATACCAGGGAGGCGTCGTGACTGAAACTGTGCCCGAAGACCTGCCCGAGTGTGACCGAAGCTGGCGCCAAAGGTTTTTCGACCGCGCCGGAGCGTGACCGATGTGCTGGGTTCGAAACCCAGGCGAATGTCAATCCCACCAGCCCTATGGGCGTGAGTGGTTTAGAAAGCCCCCTCTGTCCAACCCCTTTCTTCCCCTTCGGGGAGGAGTTTACCCCTCCCACTCCCCCCTTCCCCTGGGCCTGGAGGGGGGCGCGCGGGTCGTTGGAGCGTCTGTTTTGGCCTAAGATGCCGCCAAGACGGCCCAAGAGAGCTCAAGATGACCTCCAAGATCGCTCAGGACAGCCCTCGATGACTCAAGATAGCTCCTAACAAGCCTACGCGAGGCTCCAAGACCGCCCCAAGGCTGCCCCAAGTGGCCACGGAGCCTCCCAGGGACGCCCCCGAGAGGCCAAAATCCTTCAAAATCCTAGGGAAAATCAATGTTTTGTCCCTTCTCGCCTTTTCGCTTTCAATGGGTCTTCAGGCTTCAAGATGGCCCCAAGATGGCCAAAGAGAGCCAGAGGCCCAAGACTGGCCCAAGAGCGCCCTAAGAGCGACCCAAGAGGGCCCCCAAGGGCCACTTCTCGGGTGAAGTGGGGACGTGGCCCCAAAAGACCTCCCAGACCCCCCCAAAGAGCCCCAAGAGGGCTCCAAGACCCCTCAAAAGAGCTCCAAGGGTGCCCCAAGAGGCACCACGGGGACCCCAAAAGGGCCCAGAGACGTGCAAAATATCCCCAAGAAGGCCCTTGGATAGCCCCAAGATGCATCCAAGAGGCTCTCAGAGAGTAAGATCCAGAAAAGGCATTGATGATTGACTTGTCGTCGTCGTCGTTGTTGTCGTTGTTGTTGTGGTCATCGCCGTCGTCGCCGCTATCTCCCTCTCGTCTCCCACGGCCTTCTCTTCTTCCTCCTCCTCCTCCTCCTCCTCCTCCTCCTCCTCCTCCGCCCCGCCCTCCTCCCACTCCTCCCACAAGGAAAAGCTAAAAGGGAGCAGGCAAGGTCGTCGTAGTCGTCGTCGTCATCGTCTTCGTCGTCGTCGCGGTCGTCGTCGTCGTCGTCGTCGTCGTCGTCGTCTCGTCGACGTCGTCGTCGTTGTCGTCGTCGTCGCTACAAATTCGGTTACACTGCGTTTTCGGTCACGACTTCGGGCACGTTTTCGGTCACCGATGTTTCTTCAGTTGATTGCCCTTTCGGCTGGCAGGGGCAGGATAGGGCTCTGCGCAGTTGCGATCTCTCGGTGCGCATCGGGCAGTGGACTGACCTCAGAAACTTGCGGGTGGGAAGTGAGGCGTGCTCTTGGCTGGGCCTCAGGGAGAGGCCCCGATCGGTGAGCGGAAGACTTGGGCGGACGAGCGGGATAAGAAAACGACACGGTGGATGGAGGAGGACGAAGAAGAAGTTGCCCGCCACGCACATGCTCAAGGAGAAGACTTGAGTAGGGCCGAGGGACAGAGAACGCCTTCCTCTGCAAGACCACCAAAAGAAGGACGTCAAGGTGGTCAAACGCCTCGCCGGTTAAGCCGACGAAGATGTGTAAAATCCAACCGTTCGCTTCGCAATATGTCCGAAGTTTTGGCTCGACGCCGGGTGGTGCACCAGTCTCAGCGTTGGTTGCGCCCCTTGACGTTCGTTCGGGAGGGTCTGCAGACCTGACCCCCCAGCCCTACTCAAGAGAAGACGCACGGCGGAGCGCGGTGGCCTATGTATCGCAACTGACAGCCTGCACGTGCTCGGTCGGCAGGGCTAGTTACGGGGCGGACGTCCAGTTTGCGGACACGGGAAGGGAACGCAAAGGTTCTCAACACATGGATGTGGATTTCTCCGTTTGGTCGGCTTCTTTTTACGCCAATACTGATTGTTTACAGAAGTTTCGCGAAGCATGCAAGCATGAGCAGGCGCGTCTGCAGATTGAGGGCCGTATCATGAGCAAGCGAGAGCAAGTGGGCCATGAGCACGAGCATGGGCGGGCGAGCGCAAACGAAGGTGAGTGGGCCATAGCAAGCGAGCATGAGCACGAACAGGCGAGGGCATGAGCATCAGCATGAGCATGAGCAAGCGAGAATGAGAAGGCCATAGCGGAATGGCGAGTCTCCGTTACTTAGGCGCACGGGGCCCCGTACAGTGTCGTTGGACACGCCAGTAGTGTAGTTGGGCGGAACCGCAGGGGGGTGGGGGGATATTTTCATGTCCCTTCAGGCCCCTTAGTATTATTGTAATCGCCAAGCCGTGTACAAACCAAAAAATGCCAACGGGGTGTATTAGTTGATGCATGTGGAGCACCTCGGCACTTTCAGGTCGACCTGCAAATTTCCAGATTGGACCAGGACATTTTCGGCCGGAGCGTTTCATCCATGTTTTTGTTTCACACGGATGGTACATTCAGGTCGACATGAAACTTGCCAGGTCCAAATGGTACCACGCGGTGTAGAAACCTGAACACGTCACCAGGCTGGAAGATTTCATACACGCGGGGCACCTGGGTATTTTCAGGTCGACCTGCAAATTTTCAGGTCGGACCTGAAAATCGCGCGGCATCTATTGGTTTATACAGTGAAGCCTTGCTCTGGTCGACCTGAACATTTTGAGATTCAATCGGCGCGCTCATCGGAAACCGCAACCAAACGATGTAACTCCATGCGCGGGGGGCGTCCACGCAGTTTCGGCCCCCCCTGACAGCCTTCGGGCTGGACAGCAAAACCGTGTTCCCGGTCCCGCGGGCGACGATGAGCTCGAGGTGCGACTTTACTCCTTGATATTTTCCCGCGGAGATCCCGATCCACCATGGGAAGAGGGCGCAACGACGCCGCATCGCCGTCGTCATCAACATCACTATCGCATGTCCGAGTCTTCCCCACTGGCGGCATCGAGATAAGAGGCTGGAGAAACACGACACTGATTACACTCGAGAGATAAGGAGAATGAGGGCATGCGAAACACGGAACCGCTTTCCAGACGGGGGTCCACACCAGGGGGGCACAGAAACTCCACCGTCACCACCACGAAGGTGAGTGAGCCAGATTCGCAAAACTTTCGCAGACGCGATGTAGTGGTAGCAACAGGAAATTTGATGCCGTCCGTACTGCCAGTTACTACAGCGTGCAACTGCTGTAAATCGCCGGCCCGGGTCCCACCGTCGACGTGCAGCAACAAACTAAACGCGCCTAAACTAAACTCACCTGGTGAACGAAATCTGTGATACCATGACCTTCGCTTGTCCATCGTATGGTTCACCAAGCTGCCCGCTACTTTCATACACCCCCTTGGCCTCCACTGGACCGCTTCGTCGATGTCTCGTACAGGTTTCCACCCTTTGCTATACTTGGAATTATGTCGTCCTCCTTCTCCTCCTCCTCCTCCTTGTCCTTTCTCCTTCCCCCTCCTCCTCCTCCTCCTCCTCCTCCTCCTCCTCCTCCTCCTCCGCCTCCTTTTCCTCCTCCGCCTCATCCTCCTCCTCCTTCCTCCTCCCTGCTGCGCCCAGCCCTTCTCTGCCTGCGAAGAGCTCCTCCTTGTGAGCCCCCCCTGGGCTGCGGGGCGATGGGGCGGCGAGGCCGTGGCGATGAGGACGGTTCCCCTCGCAGCCATCCGCTGCGGCATGGCCCCTGGCCCCTGGCAGCAGAGGGAGGAGGACCTTGGGCTCGAGCCTGGGGTGTTCAGCACAAGAACTACCACCTTCCCACAACCCCGCTGCCACCGCCACCGCCGCCGCCGTCGCCCCGCCGTCGTCGTCGTCGTCGGCGTCCTTCTCCTCCTCCTCCTCTCTTCATCTCCTCCTCTTCTTCCTCCTTCTCCTCCCCTCCTCACCTTCTCCTCGCTCTTTCTCCTCCTCTTTCCCTGCTCTTTCTCCTCCTATTTCTTCTCCTCCTCCTTTCCTCCTCCTCTCTCCTCTCCTCCTCCCTCATCTTCCTCCTCCTCCTCCTCCTCCTCCGCCTGGATTACAATGTTCTTACAAATCACTCCTTCCTGTCGCACCCCGAGGCGTGTCGGTAGGGCGGACCGGGCGTTTTGCCTGAGACTTTCTCGCCATTTAGGATCATTAAGCTGAACATGTGCGAGAGCTTCACGACTGGAGGGCGGGCCGTTTTCGAAATGTAGCTCTTGTCTGAGCGCCGCGCACATTCGTTCTAAACGTACTGTATGCAGTAAGTTCACGTATGGTGGGCGGGCCGTTTCAAAATGTGGCTTTCGCCTTAGCGCCGCGCACACTCGTTCTAAACTTACGCAAGAAGTTCACGGATGGTGGGCGGGCCGCTTTCAACATGTGGCTTTCGCCGTAGCGCCGAGCACACTCGTCTAAAAACCTTGCAACAATTTCACGGATGGAGGGCGGCTGGTTTTCAAATGTAGCTCTCGCCTTTGGCACCGCGCCCCTTCGTTAAACATATGCAAGAAAGTTCACGACTGAAGGGTGGTTTCTTTTCAAAATGTGGCTCTCGCCTCAGCGCCGCCCACACTCGTCTTAAAACGTTGCAAGAAGTTCGCGGATGGTGGGCGAGCCGTTTTCAAAATGTGGCTTTCGCCTTAGCGCCGCGCACACTCGTCTAAAAACCTTGCAGCAGTTTCACCCATGGAGGGCGGCTGGTTTTCAAAATGTAGCTCTCGCTTTAGCGCCGCGCAAACTCGTCTTAAACAATTGCAAGAGTCTCACGGGTCGAGGGCGGCTCCTTTTCAAAGTCTGGCTCTCGCCCCGGCGCCGCGCACATTCGTTATTTAGAGTTCACAATAGAATCAAGGACTCTCATGGTTAACGTCCCAGGGAGGGTGTGTTGGTATGATGTCAGGTTGTCAGGGCGCAACAGTTACGTTCGTTGATTCGCGGTGTTGGAATCCTGGGAACGGTGTTCCAGCACGGTTCAGGATCGTCAAAACGCAACAGTAACGGTGATTCGCGGCGTTGAAATCCCAGGACTGTTCTGGCACAGTTCAAGATGTTTAAACCGTTGTCTTCCAACGGGGCACTTCCCCAGTGAAGACGAATTCTTGTATGGGCCTATGAAGAGGAAACTTGGAAGGAGCGTTTGTTGCAATGTCATTGGTGAGTCTTGGGTTTGCACCTCCCGATGATGAACTGCTCGAGCCCGAGCCCGGCGTGTGACAACGCGAGGCCGCCCTGCAGCGAGGCCGCCAGCGGACAGGTAAAAGGGAACAGGTAGATGTAGGGCGAGGATGACCAGGAGGAAGAAGCAAGTGCATGCAATCAAGCTGCTGCCACAAGTAACGCTGGATAAGGAATGACGCCCCTTTTTGGCACCAGAAGCGCCTGGGTGCACGAGGAGGGCTAGAGAGACAACCACGGAATGGCCAAAGGAACAGCGGGCCCCTTCCGAACCCGAAGCGATCCTTCTTTCAGCGTCTTGACTGCACGTGAGGGCGAGGAGGACTAGATGAAGAAACAACTGAGTAAATATGCACTGTCGGAGGTCTGCGCGGACTTCTTGCATGGGCGCTGGGCCCCTCCGCCGGGGGCGACGCTGGAGGCGCCGCCAGGGGGCCCGTGGCACAGATCCAAGCAATCTGCGCGGACCTCCGAACATGTTGTGTTTATGCGGCCTTTTCTCCTTCGCTCGACCCTGGGGAGGCTGGGGTGTCCCACACCCGGTGTGGGGGGGCGGGGCAGCGCAGCGCGAGCACAAGTGGAGAGGAGAGGCGGGTGCGTTCGTGCTTCTGCTTCTGCATGCTGCCGCTGGCAGAAAAGGAGGCCCCGACTCCGGGTCCGCCGTACTTGGGCTGACTGACTTTCCGACTTGAAGAAAATGTGTCGGAAATACACCCCAAACGATGCGAAAAAGTAAGACGGAAGTTTCCGCCTCACGAAAGTAGGGCGGAAGTCGACCTCGCAGGAGCCTGAAAATATGGGGACAATTTCCGACCTGCTTGCGATATCGTCCAAAGCACGGCGGATCCGGAGTCCGGAGGGGTGGGGGGGTGGGGGGCGACTCAGCTTGACCCCCCCGCCCCGAAATCAGTGCTGACTTTATCGTGGGTGATGGTCTTCGGGGGATCGAATGCTTCTGCCCACCCGCGCCCCCCTCACTGAGGGGCAACGATAGGGGGGGGATAGGCATAGGGGGGGGGCCATCGACTTGGAATCGGCGATGCATCGCCCATAGATCGGCGATAGGCCCCCGATAGTGAATCCGCACGTTCCCGGGCAGGTTGGGGCAATCGGGCCCCCATGGACGATCAATGGGCGATTGGGGGCCGATGCGCCCCCCCTATGCCTATCCCCCCCTCATCGTTGCCCCCTTCACTGCCGCACCCTCAATATCTATCTATCTATCTATCTATCTATCTATATATATATATATCTATCTATCTATCTATCTATCTATCTATATATATATATCTATCTATCTATATGTATATATCTATATATCTATATATCGATATATCTATATATATATATCTATATCTCTATCTATATCTATATATATCTATCTATCTATCTATCTATCTATATCTATATATATATATCTATTTATAGATATCTATATATATATATCTATATATCGATATATCTATCTATCTATCTATCTATCTATCTATCTATCTATCTATATATCTATCTATCTATCTATATATATATATATATCTATCTATCTATCTATCTATCTATATATCTATATGTCTATCGATCTATCTATAAATCTATACACAGGCATAATGAGAGAGAGGCAGATGAGAGGCATAATAATAAAGGCAGGCGTAATGAGAGAGAGGCAGGCATAATGAGAGAGGTGCAGATCATGGCAGATCAACCAAAGCAACGATGGCTGTTGGTTGTAGTTTTTGCCGTCGCCGTTATGATATTGCTGCTCCTTCTTATTCCCTCATGTGTCCTCTTCTTCTTCTTCTTCTTCTTCTTCTTCTTCTTCTTCCCCTTCCTTGTTGCGGGCGTCGCCTGCTTCCTCGCCCTCCCTCCCTGGTTAGTCTGGTGCGTCGGCCGGCGGGGTCTCGAGGTCTCGGTAGGGTCTCTCGAGCGCCCCTGGCCTGCCGCACCGAATGCGTTGCTCAACTGTCCGTGCGGGCGCACTGGACCACCCCAGGGGGAGGCAGCCCACTAGAATCTTCCTCAGATTTGTTTGCGGAGGCGCCTCCGAGGCGAGCTTCCGGAGCATCTCGCGAAAACTTCTCAGGGGCTCCTTGGGCGCCTCTGGAGACGTCCCTGGCGCCTTTTGGCAGGCCCATCCGACCTGTGCCCTCTCGACGCCTAACTCCCCTCCGCTGATGTTGTGGCTCGACGGCGCCCTTGAGTCCAGCAAGTGCTACCGGACCTGCCGAGTTTGGCAACGGTGTGCTTGAGCACACCACTGTATTTCACAGCCCACCAGGGGCGACAGCGAGATACCTGATCAGATCACCGACGCTGGCGAGCTGTGGAGGAAAAGGTGAGATGATCGGGATCATCAGCATTGCTATTCACGACGAGGACGATATCGAGATATCGAGGGTGCTCGCCAACGCCGACATTCTAGGGGGGGGACGAGGGGGAAGGCCCCCTCCCCCAAGAGAGCCCTAAGACGGGGAGCGCGAGCCGACAGTTCCACCCCTCCGCCCGGAGTGGCCCCCACAGGAGACCCCAAGAGGCCTCCAAGGAGCCCCGAGAGGCCCCCAAGAGGCCTCCCCCGTGCCACCCCCTTTCTCGGAGGAGTTCGGGGAGGGAGAAGGGCGGGCGGGTGGGAGAGGGGGGGCTGGGGGCCTTGAGATCCTGGCGCTGCAATGTTTTCACAACGGGCGCCTCGCTCGGTTTCGGGCCCCTGGACGCTCACAGATCGATCCCGCTCGAAAAATTACGTAAAGATGAATTTGGGGCCTGGAGGTCCAGGCGTGGCTTTTTGCGATGTTGCATGTTTTCATTTTTTCGCTGCGTCGGATCTCAGGTGGGGGAGGGACGACCAGGGAGGCCCCCTCCCCCAGGAGGCCAAACAGTGGCCAAGACTTGCTTGTAAAGTCCATGATTCGGGCGTCCTCGCCGAGGCCATCTTGGACGCTCCAGTCCAGGTCCAGGGGGAGGGGGTAGGGGGGGGGGCGGGGGGGGGGAGGGCGGAGGCAAGGGGCACAGGGTGGAGATTGGCGGCTTCTTCTGGAACCATCACGGGCGATAGCAACTGTTGGCGCTCGCGCCTCTGGATATCCTGTCAGGACAGCGCAACTACACGCCCATACACCTCCTCTCTGGCGGGAGCTGCCTGGGACAACCATTACCCAGCAAGGATGCCCCTTTCCAGTCTGACATCTTTGGTCCAAGCATGGTGCTCCAGAGATCTTACATGCGTCTAATTGTTCGACGGTGTGCTTCGGACAATGCACTCCCGCGTTATTCAACGAATCGGTCCAAAAACCAGAAACAGACTGCCGACAAATACCTCGTCAGTCGAGACCATTCCGTGCGTCTGGTTCGGAAGGAAACACATGCAAGCTTGCATCTCCGACCGAAGCAGACCGACATGATCTAGGCACGGGCTCGCGCGAAGCTAAAACTGCATCCGAACGAGGCTCGTCTCGTCATAGCTGGTCTGTGGCTTCGCCACGATCCGTGAAGTCGCCACCTCGCTGCATCCGAAAAAGGCCCCACCAATCTGAACGCGAACGGGCCCATGTAATACCTCCTGGCGGCTCCCCCATGTGAGGCCCAAAAGCCATGCC